GAGGTATCTAAAGCCTGAGCCAACCAACCCTTTTGAGTTGCTAGCTGGAAGTAAAGAAGGGACCGATAAAGAATCCAGATAAGAAGATAGTCCAAATGTAGGTATCAAAGTTGTTGTAAACCAAATAAGAGCAAGGAGTATATAATAGACATTTAGTTAGGAAGGTTAGTACTTGAAAAATATCTGTAGAACAGCAGTATCCCAAAAGGTAGTGTAAGATATGAATACAGAATGGCAGGTTAATATATACTAATTAGAAAGAAGTTATAAAAACATGTAGATGAATATATATATAAGATATATACTGCTCTGTTAGGTTTATCTCGAGGATAGATTAGCTATATATGATTAGTTAGTTTTAAGATAGGAATTGATAAATCCAAATTGTAGTTAGTAAGTTTTAAAGTAGAGTACGAAATTTACATGAAGTAAATACCAAAATTTACTTACATATAGTGAGAAATATTCTGAGTTAGAGGGGCAATGGCGAGTAGTTGTAACCAGATAGTTTAAATAGGTACTTCCTTAGTTGAGGTGCAGATATAGCAAATAGTGTAGAACCTTTGGATGAACTACTTAAATTAGGCACCAAAAGTATATGTGTGGCTTGATATACTATTATTGTAATTATATTATAAGACCACTGTCCAGTCTTCTAATAAAAAATCTCCAGGCCAAAAAGGTCATCTTAATACCAAAAAAAAATTCCAAATCAATAAGTTACTAAATCTGAATCAACTAGTAATCAACTTTGGCCAAACTCAAATTCAGTTATCTGAAATTTTTTTAGTTGTTTCAAAATTTATAAGAATAGCTGTAATAACTAGGTAGGTTTAAAAAAAAAAAAAAATTTATAAAATTTTATATATGAAAATTAAAAAAAAAGCTGGTCGGCAGGGTCTATTTTTTTTTTTTAATAGCTATATCACATGCCTGCTTTATTGATGATGTACTATATTTTCCAAAGGATTTGTTTAAATTACATTATACCTTATAGCAAAAAATCTGAAATGTGGCTCACCCAGTTTCCAATTAGACCTATGTGTAATCTGCCAAAGATGAGTTCAATCTCTCTGGTTAGGTTCAGCTTACTTCATTTCAACTAACCCATTCTCGGATCACTGATCTGGTTTACCAGCCCATCATAACTGCCTTCTTTTCCAACCTTCTTCTCCTAGCCTCCTAGGTAGAAGAACTACTAATGAAAAACAAAGAAAAAACAAATATGAAATAAAAAAAAAACTAAAAAGAAGGAAAGTCTAAACTAAACAAAACTAAAAAAAACAAACAAAATAAAACAGAAAACAAGAAAAAAAAAAGACCGAAAAAAAGACAGCCATGATGACACTATTATTGCTTGTGTTAGGCTATAAAAATTATATAATGTTGTATAGAAAAAAATCTAACTAACACTATATATAATAAAAAAAAGTAGAAAGAAAAAAAAACATTTAACATTAAGAAATTTTTACACATGATCCCTCCAATCCTCTATACTGTAAACAGTACTGCTATTATTGTTTATTTGGCAAAACAGAATCCAAATAAGTTTGTGGGAGGTTCTATTTCAGTAAATGTGTCCTAATTTAAAAGGAGTAAACACTGCTGATCTTTTGAAGGAGGTATGCTGATTTTTCCACTTTTTGGCCAAAATTTCTAAAAAAATTCCAAAACCACAGAAATATGGTAGAAGATATATGACATTTGTTAAGAACAGATACTCTAAATTTTCCAAGGAGTGTGTTAAAGAACTTATTTGTTGTTCTCTTTTTCTTTGTTGCCTCTTGGTTACTTCGTTAATGAAAAGACCTTTTTTCCTCTAGACTCTTATCACCAAAATTTTGTATACAAGAGCACCATCTTCTTGCCAGTTATCTTATATTCCAACACTTTTGGCTTGCATGCTGAATATGCCAAAGGAGTCACCCCAAGAAAAAAGTTGACTTTTGCAAAAACTATCTAATAGTCGCATCAACTACTTTAACAAAATTTTTGTTTCTATTCTGTGGAAAAATTTGGTACAAGTGATTGTCAGAGAGAGTTGTCATTAGCAGGGTCTATTTAAAAGTTTCATGTTATGAAAACCAAGTAATTAAATTTGTATAGCCTTATACTAAATATTTTAAAAATTTTAGCAAAAATATTTTTACAACTATTTAATTAAATTTGATAAATCTTTTTTATAAATTGTATAAGGGAGCTAACAGAAATCAGGTAATTTCCATCTTTTAAGAGGCTACCCCCACCTACTAGTGTTCAAAGACAAGCCGGCTTATCACAGCTTGCTGCGGCTTAATGCAGCTTATCACATAATAAATTCGAATTTATCACCAAGCCATGTGATAATTGCGAAAATATCACGTGGTAAATTTGAAGATATCACATGGCTTGGTGATAAATTCGAATTTATCACGTGATAAGCCGCATTAAGCTGCAGCAAGCCGTGATAAGCCGGCTTATCTTTGAACACTAGAACTATGTTTATTAATTTATTAGATTGTTAATTTATTTTATTTTTTATATATTTTTATATTTTTATTAATTTATTTTTTTTTTTTGAATGTTATATTTTTTTTATTAGAGTCTGAGTACACTTTGGCAATAAATGAGATATCAGGTTTTTAATTTATTTTATTTTTTATATTTTTATATTTTTATTAATTTTTTTTTTCTTTTTTGAATCTTTATTAAAGAGTTTGAGTACACTTTGGCAGTAAATGAGAATTTTGATGAATTACTTGAAGTGTGATCTTTCTGAGTCAAGTGAAAGCTTTGATAATATTAATACTACTTTTGATAATAATTTGGCTCCTAATTTCAAAGATTATTTGGCTCCCAACTTCAAAATACCATCAAGTTCTGACAAGACACTTACAGATGATCAAATTATCTGTATATTATTATTTGTCATGAACTTCAAAAAGCAGTTTAATTTACCTAAAGTTGCAGTAGATGTAGAGGTTGGAACCGGTTTTAAATATTCGAGTTTATCACATCAAAATTTGAGTTTATTACATCAAAATTCGAGTTTATCACATCAATTATTAATGGTTGATGTGATAAACTCGAATTTTTGAGTGATAAACTCGAATTTTGATGTGATAAACTCGAATATTTAAAACCGGTTCCAACCTCTAGTTAGGCGATTATCAATTATCGTTTTAAATTTCGGTAATAAAAGTATAGTTTTCGATAATATATTTTTCGGCCGGTACAAAACAATTTTGCGATAATATATCGGCCGAAAACTATTATCGAAAAACTACCGAAAAATTATCGAAATTTGGATGATCATCACAAAATTCATCATGTGTCCCACTAATTTGCAAATCAGCTGTAATTCACAGACAAGTTCATTTTATTGACAATTAACTTACCGACAAGTTCATTTCACCGACAAAGTAATTCTTGTTAGTATCAGGTTAGAATTAGAGTTAAGGTCAGTGCATTTCATAAAAATTCTTGTCGGTGAAATGAGCTGTCAGTGAAATAATTGTCGGTGAAATGAACTTGTCGGTAAGTTAATTGTCGGTAAATGAATTTGTCTGTGAATTAATTGTCGGTGAACTAAACTGTCTGTGAAGTGATTGTCGGTGAAATAACGCCGTTAATGCTGTAATGTGATATTTTCAAATTGAACATCAATTTTATGATTATCTTGAATTTAAGCCAATCAAGTTCTTTTTTCCTATTTTGGCTTTGTAGGTTGGTCTAAAAAGGAAATTAATATAAATTAATATAAGTGATTTTTTTATAATATACTATATAATGATCCGTAAATTTTCTTCAGACTACTCGATTTTTTATATACTTGTAAAGTCGGCAAAGCAATATAATGCTGGTAGCGAAATTTAATAGATGCCAAAATATTCCGAAAACTGTAAGAAATTCCTGGGCATGATGTGCATAATGTACGTATGTACATAAAATTTGAAAAAAAAATTAGAATTTAGCGCATGATTTTATTACGATTTACATATATATGCAGTTTTTAATGTAATCAAATGTGAATTATTAGCAATAGTCAAATTATTAATGGTTAATATCTAATAATAATAATTATCACTACCCGCGCCTAAAAACAAAAGAAAAAAAAAATTAACGTGACTACGGTAAAAACTGGTTAGTTTTAAAAATTATATTGAAGTATATGAAGATGACTAACTAGTTAGTGCCTTATGCGTATAATAATGTTATAGTATTATGGTATCATATTATTACAATACCAAGGTACTACCAGGTGTTTGATAAGTCCCTGGACAGGACCTTTTTGTTGACCACTAAATAAATCACCAAATCACTAAGTACATCACTAAATACCGGTATAAAACTAATATGAGCGGAGATATAAAAAAGGTCCTGCCCAAGGACTATAAATCACCCGGCATAGTATTTTGATATTACGGCATAATATTCTACCATATGGTAGAATGCTGTTATTCAGCAATCCTACCGCAAAGACTATTATAAAAATTAGACTTTAAGGAAATTATTAACTCTGAGCAAAATATTAATATTGAAAGTAACTTAAAAGGTTATATAATCGGAAGTTGACATCTGATATATTACAAATGTAAATATGCACGTGCATACATTCTACTAATTGACTTTTTTTTAAACTAACAAGCAATGACGATAAATATCAAAATTTCAGGGGCATAATTTCGGAGTTTTGGAAACTATAAGATGCTGAAATTCCATATTTTCTAATTTAATTGCGTGAATGTTTTATTGAATAACTTTCTTTTTAGCGCAAATTTATTAGTATATTCTTTTTAATATTTTGATTACATTACATTATGCATAATAAACTGTGAAAAAAAAACTATAAAATTTAAGATTTTTTATTAATTAAAAATTAAAAATATTTAAAACTAATCATGGATTTCATAACTTCCTTAACTATAGTTGTTATTCTGATAATAATTTACATTTATTATGCAAATTCTAAAGTCCCAGACTCTCTTAAAGATATTCACTCAATCTCGTTTTTTAGTTTAATGTTGTCAGTATTAACGAATAATGGTGGAAATGATAAACTTTATTTACGTTGCAAAGAATATTTTGAAAGAGATGGCGTTATAAAGGTAAATTTCATTTGTATGTAGATTGCAATTTAAAATTTTTAAAAAATTCCTATGTATAATTTTATGTTTGTAGCTTTTTTTCAGAGGAAGATGGATTTGCATGATAACTGATCCAGTGATTGTTAAAGAAGTGTGTTTACGAACTGGTAAGTCATTAATCATTTGATGTTTCACATTAGGTTTTACTTTACTGATGCGAGGTGCTTCGAATTATTTTTCATAGATGCTTTTCCTAAGTTAATGTTTGATGAGATTATACCAAATTCTGCGTTTGAGCGGCATTTTGGAGTTAATGTTGTTCATTCAAATGATGATGTAAGAATTTTTTTCCATTTTATTGTTTAAATTTTTCTTGTGACAAATTTTTCATTGTTTTTTGTATTTTAGGTTTGGAAGAGACACAGGTATATATATATGTATTTTTTACTTCGCCTTTTATTACAATTAGTGATACGGGTCGATGAAAAAATCATGGGCCGGTCGATCCTAAAAAAGCTCAGGCCGGTCGAACGGGCCGAACTTTTTTGCTAATATAATTTTTCTAATAAGAATTAGTCTCGATATCTATATCAAACGTGTAGAAAGCCATCGGGTAGTTCCTTGCCAAATTCTAGTATTCTAAAATTATAATGCGTTATAACATATCAGGCATTTCCATTTCTTATACGTATTAGTTATTTGCTAATTTATCACCTAAATTAGCCAACTAATGCGTGTCTACATTTTTATAAATGATTGGTTGATTTTTAGCCAATTTTTTAGCCAGTATATGAGAATCGACTGGCCCGGCCCGGCCCACAAGGGTGCAGGCTGAGGGCCAACCCGCCGATCGGCCCGGTCGTTGGGCCGGGGCCACCCCGTATCACTAATTACAGTTGTTATTTATATATTTTTGATATAAAATTTTATTTAGACGTGTTTGCAATCCTGCCTTTAAAACTTTACCAATACACCTTTTTGACAAAAAGGGATTGAAATTGATTGATGTTTTAGAAAAAGTCGATAATAAACCTATTGAAGTTAGAGATTTTATGCAAAGGTAATAAAAAATAATTAAACATTCTTTAAAATCTTTATGTCGTCTCATTAATATTTATAAGTTAAATTTTGTAGGTTTACTTTAGACATTCTTGGAATAGTTGGCTTTAATTTTGATTTTAATGTAAGAGTTAACATTAGATAAATTATAGTTTTTTTTTTTCATTAAACAATTTTCAATTTAGAGTCTTGAAGACCAGAATAATATCTACGTAACAACTTATAATGAAGTTCAGGAATTGCTTAAAAATCCTTTTTATTCTATACTCCATCTTGACCGCATTCCATTCATAAAACAACTAGTATTTAGAAAAGTTGATAAGTTAAATAATTTATTTGAGGATATTATTAAAGAAAAACGTAAATCCTTAGCTGCTGGACATTCTAATGGTGATCTTTTGGAGCTGATGTTAAAAGCATGTGAAAATCCGGATATTTCTAATAATCAAATGTTATCGGATACTGAACTAAGAGTAAGAGGTTTTTGGATTTCTATTACCTTAATTAAATAGTAAAATTTTTAATGCAATGTTTGATTTTAACAGAATAATTTAGCTGTTTTTATGGTTGCTGGTCATGACACAAGTAAGCATTATATTAATATAAATTAATATGAGAAACAATTTATGATTTTCACCCGTGCAGTAAAAAAAAATGATTTTTTTTATAAATTTAGCGGCAGTGGCTTTATCGTCTCTTCTATATCTTTTAGCAATTCATAAAGTAAGATACATATTTATTATTGTTATTATATTTATTAAACCGTTGAGTATTCATAATCTCATTTATCTAGGATGTTCAAAAAAAAGTTCGAGAAGAAATCTTAAGTGAACTTGGTGATAATCTAACACCATCAGTAGAACAACATGCGTCATTAAAGTATTTGACCATGGTTATTCGTGAAAATCTTAGATTATATCCTCCGGTTAGTACGATTTTATATCTAAAAAATAATTATTTGACTTATAAATTTATTTTAAATAGTTCGCAGGTTTACAAGTACGCGTATTAGCTGAAGACTTGAAGCATAAGGATTTTTTGATTCCAGCTGGCACACCCATTATTCCCTTTTTATATGGAATACATCATTCTCCGAAGCTTTGGAAAAATCCTGAAGAGTTTTTACCTGAGAGATTTGAAAATGAACATGAAAATTATTCTTGGTTGGCTTTTGGTGGTGGATCTAGAATGTTAGTTGAATTCTTTATACTTGTCTTAATTTTCTTATTTTGGTGACATTGATTAAATTTAATTTTTTGTTTTAAATAGGTGTCTAGGAAATAATTTCTCTCTCATTGAACAGAGAATAGTGATTTGTTTGCTGTGTACGTGTTTTATTCCAATTAAATGAATTTCATTGTGTAATTACTTACATGTATGATTTATATTTTTGTAGTGCGTAAATATGAAATATCATTGCCACAAAATAGCATACATAAAAACGAATTAAAGTTTAAGGATTCATTGACTCTATTGCCAATCGATCTCATTTTCAAAAGAAGGAATGAGTGATCATTTATTTTTATAAGTTAATTACCTCTATTATATAAATTTAGCTACTGTATTTAAAATGCCGTAAAGTATGGACGCGAGTACCCAGTGTGACAATTAATTTTTTAAAATACTATTTATATTTGCATATTATGTAACAATAGTGTAATGCACATGATTTTAATTTTTCACTTTGTTAAAAATTCATACACTAAGTACTCGCGTCCGCATTTTACAGTATCTAATTATAGACTTCTGATTTTTTCATCATATATGTTTTCTTACTGGTTAAATAATAAATTTTTACTGTTTATAAACATTGAACACTCGAAAAACCTTGATAACATTAAACTTGATGGTTAGGAAGTGTCGGATATCAGCTGATGTCGTAGGGTAGGGGGGGGGCGGCAGACAAAATCTCGGACCTAAATATATACACATAACTAATCAGAATGATTAAATTTCTCAGAAAGGAGAGAGGGGGTGAGCTCTATAGTAAACTAATTTTAGCTAATATCTGACACAACCCTTAGGGCCCGCCCAGCCAGTCCTATCCAAAGACTGGCAGACTTTTAAATAGTTAGACTGGACTGCGGTCCAGGACTGATCAGGACTGATTGGTAAGCGTGAAAGAGTGAATTGTGGCTTGAAATCGACTTTTCTTATTATCGGGAATTGGATGCATATAAATTTAGTGGGTTGACTTATTATAGGCTAGATCGTCACTGAGGTGCTGGTAAATCTAACAAATCTGTTAGATCTGTTAGATATGTCAGATCTGTTATATATGTTAGATCTGTTAGATATGTCAGATCTGTTATATATGTTATATCTGTTAGATACATTAGATATGTTATATATGTTATATATGTTAAATACATTAGATATGTTAGATATGTTATATATGTTATATATGTTATATATGTTATATATGTTAGATAGTAGCCAAAGAATGTATATAAGGGCCAAGAGTTTGCATTGAATAAAGTCAGTTAACGTTTTGCGAATATAACTCATAAAAGTTTATTCTCCTAATTCCCAAATAAATAATCTTATAGCCCTGTGATCTGAATTAGAGCTTCATGACGTAGTCTAGAGCTCTATTTTGCACTAATAACTCGGACCAAGCTACCACTATTATGGTTTAGATAGAGTTTAGTGGTATAGTGTGTGATTTGGATTAGTTTAGAATTAGCTGATATCTGTGAGACCCATATTTTGAGATTCCGGATCGATTTAACTCTCACCATGAACTGATTGTTAAACTAATTAAATGCCACAAAAGTTGCACTAACATATTAATTATTTATGTGTACTACCATTATTATTTTAATTCCATTCAAATTATTAGTTTATTACATAAAAGCCCTCTAAACAAATATTCAACCTGTTTATTATTATTAGAACTAGAGGTGGCAGGATAAATCAGATATCCGGATTGAAATAATCATCACCCGGGGCATGAGCAGGTCAATCCGTCGAGTGATCCATTAATTCATATACTATTTTCATGTATTCAATATTACAGCATTAATTAACTGCTTCTGTAGTTGTAAAACCTATTGTTTTATTATAGCTATTTTTATGAATTCTGGGACATGAAAAATTTCTAATGACTGAATTCGATAAGTTTCTAATTCAGCTGAAGTCAGTTACTATTAAATCGCAATTCTGCAACTTATTGAATTCAGTCATCAAAAATTTTTCAGTTGTCCCAAAATTTATAATAACAGCTGTAAATAATATTCAGAAAATTGTACGTACATATTAGGGTGGTAACTCAACTATGTAAATCAAAATTATGTGAGCAAACTATGGAATTTGTTCTATTGTAGATTTTTCACATTACATGAATAAAAATCAATTTTAATTATGATATCAATTTAATATAAATTACTACTATATCACATATCAATATAATTATCGCCATATTACATATTAATATCAATTTAATATAAATTACTACTATATCACATATCAATATAATTATCGCCATATTACATATTAATATCAATTTAATAATGTTAATTACTGTTCTAATATATATTTTTCTATTTATCGCAATATTACATATATATTTATTAATGTTAATTTATGTTTCATTATACAACTACTATTAACCAAATAAATTTTCAAACAATTTATTCACTTTTTTTCACATTTAGCGTCATTATTGAAACTGTCCTGACTTAAATTTGGTTTGGGTACAGATTTTGTTTGCTGCCTTTTCTTTGCTCTAAATTCCATCAAATCCAAGGAATTACAGCTGATTTCCAAAAGTGGCATATTTGATGACTATAATTTTGATTGTTGAAGATTAGTTGTCATATTTGGATTGGTTTTAAGATCCCACTTGTTGAAAATATCTTCAACTTGTTGTTGGTAAATCATGATATACCAGATTCGATATTTAACAAACTCAAATATTTTAGGAACCTGGTTTAAAGATTTGTGCTTTTCCTGAATAAAGCTAAGAAATTCATAAGTAAATGCAGGATCATTTAATGTATCTGATAGACCAAAGTTATTAAATTCATCACATTTAACATCTTTCTAAAAGTTTCACATAACATAATTTCTGCAAAGTAGGAACTGATAATCAAGGTACTTCTAAAACCACATAAGCATAGCTTTATGCAAATTCTCCTCCATGCATTTCACCCAAATAGTAACTTAAAGATAAATGCAGCCAACAATCTAGCCATTTTTTGTGAAGTTCTAATGCTTTTTTAGTACCACATTCAAGATCAGAAATAAGTTCACTAAGTTGATCATCTTTTAAAAAACTAATATTTTCTATTAATTCTTCTTCAAAGAATGAATAGAGATCTTTAACAATATTTCAAAGCTGTATTGTTGTACAAACTATAAAATCTGGCATTTGGTATACATGTCGACCTGGAGGAAGATTAATAGACATAGAATTTTATAATATAGGATCATATCTAGTATGAAACTTGATCATTGGATAATAAAACTCTTTTTCAAATATAATTAGAAATTTAATCTGAAGATTTAAAAAAGGATTATTAATCCAATTTTTAAACAACTTCTATTTTTTGATGTATGATTTTGGTATATTATTTTAGACTTTAAGATGAGCTAAAAACCATTTTGTAAATTGTATATGAATGGATCTTTGCTCTAAATATTGTTTAGCATAAATTAGTTCATAAAACTATCATGATCAAATAGGCTATTGATACTTAATTAATCTATATTCAAATCATTTCTCATAAAGCATGCAAATATAATCTAACCATATGCCTATCAGTTTGTCTTTATCATTTTTATCATAGCCATCATGGAGATCCTAGGCTAAGTATAAAATATTTGCCAGATGTTCTTTTAGTAAAAATTCACTAGCATTAGATAACTTTCAAATGTAATTTCTTCAAAATTATTTATTATGATATGTGAAACATGAATTCCACATGGAATTTGAAATAGCTTAGATTTATTTATTTTGTTAGATAATGCAATCACACATCCAGTTCTACCACTTATATTGTTTGTATTATCAGAAATACAAACTAAACATTGCCATAAATCTATATTATAATTATTTAAAGTATTATATATTGCTTGTGCTACTGACTTTTCTGTACAACATATCAAGTCCTTCATTTCCAATAATAAAAAATCTGGTCTATTTTTTTCTAAGTTCCAGAATATAAGACATAAAACAAATATTTTTTGTTGACCTCGTGTTGACTTGTCTACTATTATTCCAATAGTAAAGAAATTTGAAATCTTACTTTGATTTAAAATTTGACTTATATAGAGTTTACTAATTTCTTGATTCTACTTAACAACAGCTTAGCATGTTAATAATAGTGATAAATCCTCTCCTGTTAGAAAACCCATAATTATTTGTATAGCTTAAATAGTACTTTGAAAAGGTAATAATCGTATAGTTATATTGATAAATTGAGTTGTATATTGACATTTGTTTTTCATAAGTTGTGTTAAAATACTTGCTTTTAAACTTTGTGAAGAAGGTAAAGATTTACAGCCAGAAATAGCACATATTCTTAAAATATATTTGCTTTTTTTACACTTATACTGTGATAATGCTCCAACTAGTTATTTAATTTTATAATCTTTTTTAATGTTTAAATGTTCTAACTTATTTATTTCTTTTTGCAAAGTTTTATTATATTGAATTAATGAGATCAAATCTTGACCTGACTTACAAAAAGAGGAATTGATAAAATTTAAAGCTTTATTCTGCAAAAAAGATGAAAGCAAACTACTTTTATTTGGCTCTTTAAAATACTGCATGGTATTAAATAAATGAATTGCAGGCTTTAATTCATTGTCAGGTATCTGTTTTACAATATTAATTAATTTTTAATGACATGAAGTTTTATTTTCTTCTTGATGTTCAGTTTGTTGAACCATATGTTGTTAAATTAATTGCAATTCATTGTCACTCATTTGCATTAAAATCTGATTTAATTCACTAATATATTTCTCTTGCTGAATGGCTTTTCATTTGTCTACCAAAATCTTGCTTGCTTCATGTGATTGATGTTTTTATTTAGAGATTGGCATTTTTACAAATTAATATATTTATTATATTAATTACTTTAAAATGATGCAACTTAATGAAAACCCAATGAATTACTTTGAAATTTTCACAAGTAACTTATTAATTATTAGAGAATAAATTTACGCTTTTGGATTTTATATTAACTAATGAAATTTAATTATTTATAAGATTAACTAAAAAAATGAAAAAA